ATAGAATGAACACACCCTGGCTCAACATATAGAGTCCCAGAGCCAGGGTGTGACAAATGTAGTCAATCTCAAACATGAGATTGTTATCTCCACTCCTCTCCTTCTACAGCAAATCCGTGGTGAGTTGCTGGAGTCCCAGAGGAAAGTGTCGTCCCTGCAGGACATGTCCCTGCAGCTGCTGGTCAACAGCGAGGGCAGCGACTGTCTGGAGGCCAAAGAGAAGGTGCACGTCATCGGGAACCGCCTCAAACTGCTCTTCAAGGAGGTGACCAGAGACCTCAGAGAGCTGGAGAAGATTCTGGACATCACCAGCAGCCAACAGGTCAGAACAGCAGCGCTTGTACTGTACAATTAAATAGAGCAATTTAATGTACCTCTATGCAGTACACAAATTACACAATAATACATAGTATAGGAGAAAAGTTTGTAGCCTTTCTCTACTGTATCTAACACAATTTCTCATGCTCCCTCCCTCCCTCCGTGTGTGTCTCTCTCTGCCTTTCCGTCCCCCCCCCCCTTTCTCTCTTTCCGTCCCTCCTGTCTTTCTCTCTCTCCTCTCAGGATCTGTCTTCATGGTCGTCGGCTGATGAGCTGGACACCACCTCTGGATCCATCAGCCCGGTGTCGGGCAGGAGCACGCCAAGTCGCCGTCGATCGGTAACGTATAATAGTCCCCCTGGCGTAACATGGTGCTCTACCAGAAGGAAGGTGTTTGGTACTCCCCGAATGCCCCAGACAGTGCATCACTTGTGCCCCCGAATGCAACGCCCAGTTTTCTCCAGTTTAAGACCATGCAGAGTCACTCCCTCCCACCATCCCAGGACCTCTCCTTCTCACCTCTGATCTGTACACCGTCCAATATACTTTTCCCACCACACTCTGATCCTGTTTCCACACCTTTACACCTTGCATGTCTTCTTCTCCCAGAGTCAAACCCACCAGAGTTCTGGAGACATGATTATTCCCTCTCTTTTTTCATTCATTTTTCTTTCCCCCTCTTCTCTTCTTGATGGACTTGACTTCAATTTCTACCCGGGTTTGAACATTTGAAGTCAACATGTCTTTACACCCCAAATTCTGCCCCCTAAACCTCTACTTCTACCATCTCCTGACTGACTCTTTCTTGTTTTGTTCTTCAATTCTTTAGTGTCCTGTAGTTGTAGGTCCCTGTAGTGTAGTGTTCAAGGAATACTGGCTCTTTGATACTGCTGACAACACAAAGTAGAACATTTAATCCTGCTTGGTTTTTATCAATCCAATTCTCCAATTCTCCAATTTCTTTTAGTTTTTCTCTGAAGTAATGACTTGTTTTTTAAGTCAATCCCAAAGATTGATCTCAATGATTTTAAGATACAGTACATGTATATCTTAAATGTCTTACTTCTGTCTCCCACATAGCATGTCATTCATCATATAATATAGCACATAATACAAGTTGTGCTAAAGCAGCTTATGAATTCACTTTGTTCAAAATAACAGCATGACCATCCAGCTGTAGCTGTTCAAAGTAGCTGTACACTTTGAAAAAAGCCAGTTTCCTTGTTTTCCATTGAATTATCTCTCTTATTGTCACCTTCCTTCACAAATTTGATTTTGTTGCTGCCTTTCTATTCTTTCATTTTCATCGGTAGCTTTGTTCTTTATTTGCCTGGACTGAAACATACTTTCTTTCTTTTACCCCCCTGTTCATTGCAAACAGCAACGGGGCAAATGTAGTCTGTCACAGCAGACCTCTGGACCCTCTGTGAGCAGTCCACACAGACCACACAGGTACCTTTCTCCTGGTTTCTAGAACACCCAGAAGATAATGGAACCCATGGAACATGTTACTCCTGTTCTGAAACCTCAGTCCGTCGTGCTGCACGGCACTGCACACATACAGTACAGGGCAACGCTACAGTGCAACAGAAACATAGATAGAAAACCCTGAGTGCTGTTTTTTTACTTACTTCCAAAGGTTCATAAAAGGTAAATGAAAAATGAAATCCATCATCTTCTACCATTCTAGATACTATGTAGAGGCTAGGGCTTTACAGTAGATGGTGGTTATATCCCACACATCCTTTACATTACAGTTCCGCAAACTATAATGAGACTTGCAAGCCTCTTCGCTGCCAATGTCCTCGGCTGCTTGATTAACTACGCTACCAAGAATGCACCTTGAGTGCTTAACATACTGTAAACAGTTTCTCTAATACAGGGCCCTTAACGCTCCTTTTCTACTGCTGATGGGCACACACAGTTTTTCTTTTGAATTGCCAAGCCAGCAAGTGTCTGCAATGAACAATATGATGGCAGCAAGTCTATCTCTCTATTCCTTTCTCTTTCTTTCTCTTGTGTGTGACATCTATTCTTCTATTTCACATAACTAATCCACCATCTCCCCCTCGCTCCCCTCAATCTGCCATCTGTGGGTCTCGCCTCGCAGGTCTCCATTTGTGAAGTGTTAGGGGGCATTTTGGTCACAATCTAGCATCTAGACAGTCAAACCTGAGGGTAAAACAGACATCACTGTTATCTACACATACCAGGAATATTATTAGTAATAATTTTAGAGTAAGCCAATTTCACAGTTATAAAATAGACCTCAAAGCTACGTAAAACAGATCAACATCAGGTGTCACATTGCTGTAAAGTCACTGTAACTCTTCCCAGCTGTTGTTTTGTTACTTTACATTCCTTGTGCATAGTCCAAACAGGTTATTTAGTGTATTTAGTAGCAATTTAGTGTTACTGTCAGAGTTGGGATCAATTCCATTTCAATTCAGGAAGTCCTCATTGCTTTTCAGTTTTCAGTTCACTTCCTGAATTGACTGATTATGGTCCTCTCAGTTTGACAGCAGCCAATGTTGTTCACAGTCAGATGAGGGTGTATTAAGATGCTTCTGCTGCTGACTAATGCTAAAAAGATCAGAGCTACAGCTACCCCCTTTAAAACAGACTGCTCTATGCTGCTATGCTCCTGTCTTGGCATGCTTTTTAACAGGATATAAACTCATCAGAGAGACCTTGTAGGAGTATCTAAACGGTCAACTGCTACTTGCAGCATGCATTTTGTCACGCATCCTAACACCTCGCATCCTTTATAAAGGAATGTCAGCTCAACATATTTGTTTTATGGGTTTGAAAGGATTGGATTTCTTGAAAATGTTTGTCAATGTTTGTCAAGTGATATTCAAATGCCTGTCAGTGTATTGATCACAGATATCATTTGGTTATTCGGTCATGTTTGTGGAGATACACAGTTCATCATCATAATTGTAGTTCAAGAACTACCATACTGTAGTTCCTCAAGATCATTTGGGATAGTTTATATCTTGTAACTAAATAGTTTGATTCTGATTAATCTAATGACATAATGTATACTTGGATGGATGTGTGGTCTGGATGCATGTCCTTAGCTCTACAGGTGTCATAACCTAAATCTACTTGGCTTGGTGTTGTTGTGTGGCCCTCGTATCATGTTTAATCAGGTCTCCCAACGTCGCTGGATCCGCTTCCTCCCCTTCTGAGGCCGTGGTGATACCATCGTCATTCCTGTACCGCGTCCTGTGGGTGGCGGTGCCCCTCCAGTTGCTCCTCCTCCTGCTGCTGGTGGGCATGGCCTGCCTGGCGCCAATGTATGAGGGGGATTTCAGCTGCAGCCAGTCCAATAACTTTGCCCGTTCCTTCTACCCCATGCTCAAATACACCAACGGGCCCCCTCCTGTATAGTCTATCATGACAGACCAAACGTTTGGTTCTGGGTGCCGTGCGAGATTACCTCGTGTATATGCCAGCCTGGCCCTGGCATGGAGACGAACCTGAGAAGGACAGTTGGGCTTTTTAATTGTATTGGAACTGTTTCAATGCTCCACTACCTTGCAGCTTCCATGAAGAATAGAGAGATATGGCATGCCGTCATTCGGCTCCTTGTGCCGCCATAAGCAAGAAACATAGGAACCCAAATCTCAAACTGATCTTGGACATGTCTTCTTTGTATGGATGGAGTACAGCAGCTGTCTTAACTTATCTTTTGTGGCTGATAGAATCACTCATGTCATCTTTTAGTTGTCTGTCATGCTGTATGTCTGTATAGACTAAAAATGATCTTTGGAGAAGCACATGTAAGAACCAAAAATGTTTCTGACTGCAGTCAGTGGATATCAACTGGATGCTGGAACTGTTAGGTTGAAACACAGCTGCCATTTGACACCTAGTTCAATACAGAACATGTAACCTGTGAATTTGCCTGTTGTAACAATTGAACATTTGTAAAATCACATTTTAAAATGACTTACATTGCATTTATTTTTTACATGTATTTTGGCATGCAGTTATAATCTTTGCTTTTACTTATGCTTTCACTTGATACGTGTTGAATAGTTGATTTTTAATATGAACTATACTGTAACTGGGTGTAAGAATCTATTTAATCTGAGTTGTGTTTTGAATGTGTATGTAAAACAAATGAAATAATGAGAGTTGTTTGCTATAAACTGTTTGACTGCATAAGAAACCTTTAAAAAAACATGTACTGTATGGAAATAATGTACTGAACACACTTCGTTGTTATTTTTATAACTGAAAATATGGAAACTATCAACTTACTATTAATCAAAACTATAACGAATTATAAAACAACTGTGTATTTTCTATGGCTCTGTGCGTTCAGTATTACATGTATAACAGTCCAGGATTACTTAACGTGTTCTGTATATAATATAAATGTATATCTATAATGTATATCTGAGCCTAAATTACAAATATTGAATGCCAAATTCTCATTTTGATTCTGTCTTTTATTCAACATAATTTCTCTCTGGAGGCAGCAAAATGGCTGATTCTTATACTCTGATTCAGTGCTGTTAACTTGACAGTGTGTGGATCTTACTTTGGATACGTCATAAACTCAATTCAAATCCAATTTCAATGGGCAAAAACGTACATGATGCATCTCAAATTAATACATTTGATTTTGATAATTTAAATAAATCATTCATATCATACAGGTGCCTGTCCTAAGCAGAGTCCTCGGGGCCAGTGGGCCTCTGAGAGAAAGCTGAGCGGGACGTGATTGATCCAGAGGTATCTTGGTCCTGGAGCTGTAGGAGATGGTGGTGCTGGTGGTGGGTAGGACAGGGCCAGGACAGGGCCAGGGAGTGGTTGAGGTCATGGTGGGGGTGATGGTGATGGTAGGGGTAAAGCAGGCTCTCCAGAGATTTGATGATCTCATAGTTTGGAAGAGCCAAGGCTGTGACATCCAGACCTAACATCTGAGAGACCACCATACGGAAGTCTACCAACTGAAACAACAGAGTAAACATACCTCCAGTCAGGTTTCGGATGTTCTTTTTCTGTACTCCTAAATCAAATTATATTGTGTGTGTTTGTGTGTGTGTGTGCGTGCGTGCGCATTCATGCATGTGCATGTTAATACGACTATGCATCCATCCATCCCCCCACCTCTCTCTCTCTGTCAGTGAGCTGGGCCAGGGTCTGTCTAAGGGTGGTCAACTGCTGCTGGGCCTCCCTGGCCAGATGCTCCTGGCTCTGTAGGTCTGTCATGGCTGTGCTGAGCTTCTTCTCCACCTTGGCCTTTCCCTTCTCCAGGTCCTCCAGACTCTTACTCTGCTCCCCATTGGTCTGACTCTGCTCCAGGACTTTGAGCTTAGACACAGCATTCCAAATTGGACATTAACGTATTTGACATTTTATCATATTACTTCACAACAACATAACATTCGAAACTATAGTCTTTTGAGTAGTAATAATCAACTTTCATTCAAACTCATTTTGTAAACTTGTAGCTACAGGAAGTCGCCAGGAAATCAAGTTATATGACTCTGCCTCTAGAGGATGTGTGGGCCTGAGCCGTCCTGCCCTCTACCTTCAGCTCGTTGGTGTGTGACAGCTGGGCCTTGAGCTCTGTGATGGAGACCTTACTGGATCCCAGTTCCCGCTGCAGTCGCTCCACCTTCTTCTTTAAAATAGAATAGATACTTAAGATAGAATAGATTCTTTAGATACAGTAGAATACATACTTTATCGTCCATTTAGTAAGAAACATACATTTGGCTTCTGCCTATCTTAACCTCGCCACTGGATGGGGAGCATTTTTAGGGGGTAAGTGCCTTGCTCAAGGGCACAACGGCAGGAGATGATACCTGGGATCACAGACCAGCAGCCCTCCAGTTGCCAGTTCAGTTCCCATTTTTTACGCCCGGCCTGGGGCTTGAACCAGCAACCTTCTGGCTACTAGCCTGCCCCTCTAACCTCTAGCCTACCTGCATCTTCCTAGCGGCCACATTGGCGTCGTCTCGCTCCACAGCCAGGGCTGAGCGACTCCTCTTCTCCTCCTCTAGCTCAGACACCTTCCTCCTCAACAGCTCCATGTGGAGCTCCTTACTCTCCAACCGCTCCTTCTGGACCTTCAACTGCAGATAACATGGTATACGGTAAACATGGCAAACAGGTGTTTGAGCACAACATACAATGATACTAGTAGATTGAACAGTTATGATAGTAACTAGATTGACAGTAATGTTGGTGTGAGATCCATTAAATACTGTACATTGTGGAATGTGGAACACACAAAAATACCAGAGTGCTTGAGTTTTTTTTTTTATATGCACCTAGAATGATGTAAAGTGTGCAAACAACCCTCTGAACATCAACAAATGACATGTACACTCTTAAGTTGTAGGTTCAGTAGATACTAGTTTCATTTTGTGTACCTTTCGCTGTAGGTTGTGGGCCAGGGTCTTGCTCTCCAACAAAGCCGTCCCTTCTAGTTTGACAAGTTGCTCTGCCCGAGACAGAATGAGCTGTAGCCTCATGTTGTAGCCCAGGTCAGTGGCGATACTGTCTACTTTCATCCCCTCTGACAACTGTTCCAGGAACTGCTCATACTGCATGGGAAAACACAAGGCCCATATTTACAAAGTATCTCAGAGTTGGAGTACTACAATTTTGCCTTTTAAATAATATATGCCATTTAGCAGACACTTTTATCCAAAGAGACTTAGTCATGCATGCATTCATTTTACGTACGGGTGGTCATAACGAATAAGAGGGCTGTTCTTTTTATTTTTATTTTTTATTTTTTGGGGGAATGGATCAGCTTAATATTGCGGATAGATTGTATCTTCTATCAATGTAATTGTCTGCATCACTTCCAATCCCCCATGTTTTTTTTTATATATATATACTCCCCTTTATTACTTTTCACCATCCTTTCCCTACTTGGGAGTAAATTAGTGAACAACAATGCCCAGGCCTCTACTTCCGGTCTATACTTACTATCTACACCTTATGGACAGAGTTAATTTTACAATAATTCTATTATATATATATATATTTTTTTTTTTTTGCTCCTGAACTACTTCTACTCTCAACCTCTCCGTTCATTTTCATGATGTCCATCCGGTTTGCTTCTATATGCCATATCTTTCTAACTGTGCTCTTTCCCAAAAGCTCCCATCATACAACCTATATACTTATTATGGACACAGTATGCTTACATTATTAGCTATCTTTGTTATTATTTGTTGTTATTTGTTATTAGTCCCATCCTTCAACTCTATTCAATACCTCCCATCTATCTCTTAACACCATCCATATAGGATTTCTATTTGCCATATATATTTCAACCGTACTGTGATGTTTTACAGTACGGTCTTTTCAGGGAAGTTAGGAACCAATATACACAAGCAGTCAGGAAAGCAAAGGCTAACTTTTTCAAACAGAAATTTGCATCCTGTAGCACTAACTCCAAAAAGTTTTGGGACACTGTAAAGTCTATGGAGAATAAGAGCACTTCCTCCCAGTTGCCCACTGCACTGAGGCTAGGAAACACTATCACCTCCGATAAATCTACAATAATCGAGAATTTCAACAAGCATTTTGCTACGGCTGGCCATGCTTTCCATCTGGCTACCACTACCCCGGCCACCAACTCTGCACCCTCCTCTGCAACTTGCCCATGCCCCCCCCGCTTCTCCTTCACACAAATTCAGACAGCTGATGTTCTGAAAGAGCTGCAAAATCTGGACCCCTACAAATCAGCTGGGCTAGACAATCTGGACCCTTTCTTTCTAAAACTAGCCGCCGAAATTGTCGCAACCCCTATTACTAGTCTGTTCAACCTCTCTTTCATAACGTCTGAGATCCCCAGAGATTGGAAAGCTGCCGCGGTCATCCCCCTCTTCAAAGGGGGTGACACTCTAGATCCAAACTGCTACAGACCTATATCCATCCTGCCCTGCCTTTCGAAAGTATTTGAAAGCCAAGTTAACAAACAGATCACCGACCATTTCGAATACCACCGTACCTTCTCCGCTATGCAATCCGGTTTCCGAGCTGGTCATGGGTGCACTTCAGCCACGCTCAAGGTCCTAAACGATATTATAACCGCGATTGATAATAGACAGTACTGTGCAGCCGTCTTCATCGACCTGGCCAAGGCTTTCGACTCTGTCAACCACCGCATTCTTATTGGCAGACTAAATAGCCTTGGTTTCTCAAATGACTGCCTCGCCTGGTTCACCAACTACTTCTCAGATAGAGTTCAGTGTGTCAAATCGGAGGGCCTGTTGTCTGGACCTATGGCAGTCTCTACGGGGGTGCCACAGGGTTCAATTCTTGGGCCGACACTTTTCTCCGTGTATATCAATGATGTCGCTCTTGCTGCTGGTGACTCTCAGATCCACCTCTACGCAGACGACACCATTTTGTATACATCTGGCCCTTCATTGGACACTGTGTTAACAAACCTCCAAACGAGCTTCAATGCCATACAACACTCCTTCAGTAGCCTCCAACTGCTCTTAAACACTAGTAAAACTAAATGCATGCTTTTCAATCGAACGCTGCTGGCACCCGCCCACCCGACTAGAATCACCACTCTCGACGGGTCTGACCTAGAGTATGTGGACAACTACAAATACCTAGGTGTCTGGTTAGACTGTAAACTCTCCTTCCAGACTCACATAAAGAATCTCCAATCCAAAGTTAAATCTAGAATCGGCTTCCTATTTCACAACAAAGCCTCCTTCACTCATGCTGCCAAACATGCCCTCGTAAAACTGACTATCCTACCGATCCTTGACTTCGGCGATGTCATTTACAAAATAGCCTCCAACACTCTACTCAGCAAATTGGATGTAGTCTATCACAGTGCCATCCGTTTTGTCTCCAAAGCCCCATACACTACCCACCACTGTGACCTGTACGCTCTTGTTGGCTGGTCCTCACTACATGTTCGTCGTCAAACCCACTGGCTCCAGGCCATCTATAAATCACTGCTAGGCAAATCCCCGCCTTATCTTAGCTCATTGGTCACCATAGCAGCACCCACCCGTAGTCTGCGCTCCAGCAGGTATATCTCACTGGTCATTCCCAAAGCCAACACCTCCTTTGGCCGCCATTCCTTCCAGTTCTCTGCTGCCAATGACTGGAACGAATTGCAAAAATCTCTGAAGCTGGAGACTCTTATCTCCCTCACTAACTTTAAGCATCAGTTGTCAGAGCACCTTACCGATCACTGCACCTGTACACAGCCCATCTGAAATTAGCCCACCCAACTACCTCATCCCTATATTGTTATTTATTTTGCTCTTTTGCACCCCAGTATCTCTATTTGCACATAATCTCTTGCACATCTAGCATTCCAGTGTTAATACTATTGTAATTATTTTGCACTATAGCCTATTTATTGCCTTACCTCCATAACTTGCTACATTTGCACACACTGTATATATATTTTCTGTTGTATTTTTGACTTTATGTTTTTTTACCCCATATGTAACTCTGTGTTGTTTTTATCGCACTGCTTTGCTTTATCTTGGCCAGGTCGCAGTTGTAAATGAGAACTTGTTCTCAACTGGCTTACCTGGTTAAATAAAGGTGAAATAAAAATAAAATAAAAAAATGTTTTACAAAAGTTCTGAACCTTTCTATTCTCATTGCTTCTACAGATTGTGAATTAAAAATAAACATTTTCGCTAAAAGTATTATTATATTATTGATTGATTGACTATGACTTTTCAGATCACCCAGTAATGCTATCTGCAAGGTTAGCTCCAGGTAAATATTGCAATCCTTTAGCCATTCCTGGACCTGTGTCCAAATGAATCCGGTGTCGTTTTGCGTGTCAGTTCATAAACACTATGCCATGGGATCGGTACGTCAAAGATCTCTTCCCAACTACTTTGCAATCTATATGGGACGGCTGTCAATCCTTTGGTCCTTAAGTGAAACTGATATACTTTTTTATTTATCACAGTTTTCCTTAACCAATTATGTTCTTTAATGCAAGGCCGACAGACAAGTTCCTTACTTTCTCCCCCTTCCACTTTCCTTCCGCTGTTCTTAGATGAGTACTCCTACTCTGGGGACGCTTTGTGAATACAGGCCAAGGCAGTAATATCTCAGCTATTCCTGTAACATCCAAATCAATTTACAGTAAATGTGCCATTATGATTTTAGTACGAGGATGGTAATGGTCCTGGACCAATTAAGGTCCCTTGCCGATTTGGTATTAAAAAAAGAAAAGCTTCCAGACAGTATGCTGCTCCCGTGCTTTATTACTGCACCCTATACACGGAGTGTGCAAAACATTAAGAATGCCTTCCTAATATTGAGTTGCACCCCCTTTTGCCATCAGAACAGCCTCAATTCGTCGGGGCATGGACTCTACAAAGTGCTGAAAGCTTTCCACAGGGATGCTGGCCCATGTTGACTCCAATGCTTCCCACAGTTGTGTCAAGTTGGCTGGATGTCCTTTGGGTGGTGGACCATTCTTGACACAAACGGGAAACTGTTGAGCGTGAAAAACACAGCAGCGTTGCAGTTCTTGACACACTCAAACCGGTGTGCCTGGCACCTACTACCATACCTTGTTCAAAGGCACTTAACTCTTTAGCCTTGCCCATTCACCCTCTGAATGGCACACATACACAATCCATGTCTCAATTGTCTCAAGGCTTAAAAATCCTTCTTTAACCTGTCTCCTCCCCTTCATCTACACTGATTTGATTTGATTTATTAGGCTCCACATTAGCCGACGCCAATGGCGATAGCTAGTCTTACTGGGGTCCAACACATAACGAAAAACACATTACAGACATACGTTTAAAAACATTAACATGTAGTGTGTGTGTGGATCTATCAGCTACACATACATGTCAGTACATACACACAACAAGTAGGTCACATGGGGGAGAGGCGTGGTGCCGTGAGGTATTGCTTTATTTGTTTTTTGAAACCAGGTTTGGGTTTACTTGCGCTATATAAGATGGAATGGAGTTCCATCCACTCTTGGCTCTGTATAATACTGTACGTTTCCTTGAATTTGTTCTGGACCTGGGGACTGATTGAAGTGGATTTAACAAATTACATCAATAAGGGGTCATAGATTTCATTTGGAATCACCTGGTCAGTCTATGTCATGGAAAGAGCAGGTGTTTGTAATGTTTTGTACATCCAGTGTACATTTTACATTTTCGTCATTTAGCAGACGCTTTTATCAAGAGCATCTTACATTTAGTGCATTCATCTTAAAATAGCTAGGTGAGACAACCACATCTCAGTTATAGTCAGTACATTTTTCCTCAGTAAAGTAACTATCAGCAAAGCCAGTGCTAGTAGGAAAAAGTCAAGCGGGAGTGTTAGTTCACGAAAGGCAAAGTGTAGTTGTTGGGGGGGATTGGGTGCATATAACCTATAGCATATTATACCATGGTGGTATCAACAGTGTTATATACTACCGTAGTTATATGTTCTATATACTGTGTCTAACGTTAGTTATAAAGACTGTTATTATCATTTTTTGGGGGCCCAGCACCAGTGGAGAAATGTGTGATGTTCCCCTACTACACACTCTACATGGTTGCCAGTGTGCTCACTCACAAGCAGTCTGTTATGACTCAGCCCATCTCGGTGCACGTCTGCAGTCATCAGCTCAGCTTCCAAACCCTGCAGCCTGTTGCTGAGGTCTGTGACCTGTTGCTCAGCCAGCTGGGCTCTCTGCAGGGCACCGTGGTGGAGCTCTGTCTGCCTGGACACATCCTCACTGACCTGGGACAGCCTCCTCTCCATCTCCTCCATGATCTGACAGGAAATATCGGCGGATACAATTTAAAAACATAACTACTGATAAAGAATAACTACTCAAGGTTATTGCAATGTGCATCCAGTGTAGGCTATCGTTCAAACATTGTACCTCCTGGTATAAAATGATTGAAAATCCTGATTGATTATCTATCAATATATTATATTCTTGCCTATTGAAACTGTCACACAATGTAATAACAATGTAGTAGTAAAAGAACAGAAAAAACAGAGTAAACCCTACCTACCGCTTTCATACGTTCCTGCCTGGTGCAGAGATCCCCGAGTCTCTGTAGTATTTCCTCCTCAGTTGGCATGGAGAGACCCAGCTGCAGAAGGGCCCCTACCTCCCCCAGGAGGGCCTGCAGTTTCCCCTGTGAATAGGGTCTCAAAATTCAGGAAACTTTACCAAAATCACAGGGTTTTCCAGAAATGCTGGGATTTCTGAAAAACATGGGAATTTGTGGAAAGTTTCTAGAATCCTTCAAACTGGATTTCTGGGAAAACATGGGAATATTGCAATCCTACCTTTGTAGCCTGGTTCTTCCCCTGGCTGGTCTGGAGCTTCCCTTCCAGCTCCTGGATCTGCCTCTCCAGGCACCCTGCCTCCTGCTTGGCTGCCTCAACCATGCGCTGACTGGCCTCCAACCTCTCTGCTAGACTCTGGTTCTCCATCTCTATGCTCCTCTTGGTCAGCAAGGCACTGTCTAAATCCTGGAAGAAACATTTTGACAAGGAAACGCAAAGTTGCAACAGATAACCATTTACTGTACATAATGCTTGTGTGAAGATTTAACACATTAATTGATGCTTATACATAACAAAGATGACAGTTGTACACTACTGAGACAAGCCAATTCCAGGCTGTACTGCCCTGGAAAAATATATATCCGAGCCAGCACAGTACAGCTTGTATCAGCACAACGTGAAAAGCGTATGTGTTTTAAAAGGATGCACATATGGATACCTACCAGTCTGAGCAGATCCAGAGCCTCTGCACTGCCTGCTGCGTTCCTCCTCTCCCGGGCCACCTCTGCCACCAGTCTCATCACCGTCTCTCTGCTGGCTTTACACTCTACCTCGTAGGACCTTACACTCTCCTCCAACACAGAGACCCTCATCCTCAGTCTGTCCCTCTCAAGGCAGGGCTCCACCTGGGGACACATTAAGCAGGGCACAATGTTGTGGAACAAGTTAAAAATGTTATGTTAGGTTATGTTAAAGGACAACTCCACAACTTTTCAACCTCATTTTCATTATCTGAAGCACAATACCTGTGTCAACATATGTGAAAACTGCAAATTTCTAAGTTTTTTATTTAAAAAAAGAATAAAGTAAAAAGGTTCTACCAGATGACATCATCAAAAGTTAAAACATTTAAAAACTGTGATTTTCAAACACTATGCAATTCGCGGTGACGTGGGGAGCAAGAAAATACCCTCCCTGGGCTAGAAACTCATTGTTTTTTTTACTTTTAATCCTACCATTTTTTTTAGGACCTTATCTTTTTAACCACAGATCATAGAAACCACAGATCATAGAAACCTTTTCACATTAATATGAATAGGAATTGCCCTTTAAGTGTAGAACAAACATGCTTCCCTAACATGTAGAATAAGGTCAGCTCTATTCATGACATTTCTATTTTACCTTATCCAGTTGTCTGCCTTCTGTTGCTGTATCAATACTTTCCATTTTCTTTCTGTGTGTTACTGTAAGTCGCCTTATAAGTAGAGTAGAATAGAATAGAAATAGGTGAGAGTTTTGAGTTGGGATTTCAACCAAGTGTTATACAGTGCTGTTTCCAGGAGTCTCCAGGCAACAGAAAACATTGTCTCGCGTTTCACCAAAGGGGGTACTGTTGTTCAGGATCCCTTGCTTCAGGATGACGCAATGACGCGTCACTGCAACCAAGAAATACAGTAGCTGTTCAAATGAAACTTCATGCGCAACAAGCCTGCGTTCAAACCTCAAACTGTTATGCGGATCTAACCAGTGTTGCCAATTTAGCGACGTTTTTGTCGCTATATTTAGCGAGTTTTCAGACCCCTCTAGCGACACATTTTCAAAAAGGCGACTAGTGACAAATTTAGCCACTTGTTCTGGTGTTATTGGAGACTTTTGGAGACTCTGACGTAAAAACACGTATCATTCTTACTCTTCTCAACGAGCAGCGGGTGCTGCCGTGACCCCCGGGCCCCACCCCCGTGTGCCCACCCCTCCCCATCCCCGTGGGCCCCCCGCCCCGCCCCACCCCCCCCTACTTCACCCCATCCCCGTGGGCCCCGCCCCGCCCCACCCCCATCATTAGGTGATGACGTCATTTAGCGACTTTTAGGACAGCCAATAGCTACTTTCCTTACTGAGGAGTTGGCAACACTGATATGTGACTAAACGTAGATACTGTAGTTATTTTAACATGACAACCATTGAAACATCTTGTTTGCAAAGCCTGATTTGGTGAGTTATTTTCTTTAGGCTAGCTAACGTTAACGTTACATCAAAGATATTTATAACTAACCCCTTCTGTCTGTGGTTACATCCTTGGATCTCATTCATTTGAAGCTCGCTATTTAGCGTAGCTACCTTGCAGGTGCTAGTGCACGAACCTTAGCTACATCATGGAAGTTTTGAATTGGAATAGTGATACTCTCGTGCTTTATTGTGAGGTTCATGAACAGCTACAATATAGTAACCAATTACCATAGCTAATGTTGCCCAGAACGTTTACTGTAATCTACCTAGCTAGCTACTGTAGCTAGCTATTGCATTCATTGCCATTCAACCAAGGTCAATCTTCTTGTCCTGCAGTATAGCTAGCTATATTAATGTACAGTACATTGCCAAAATGCATTTCTATGTGTGAAGGTTTTATCATGGGGTCCTTTTGAATAGAATAAACCCCATAGATATGTTGTTCCCATCATTATTCAACATTTCTAATTTATTGATTTAGCTAGTCAGTATGCTTACGTTTTCTCTTCTCTTTGCATTCCTGTGTACAGTCCATCCATGCAGATAACATGCTCCAGACACTGTTGTGCCGACTTAGGATACAGCAGCCTTTGAGGAGTAGGACATGTGCCTATGGCTTCACCCCTGCCAATCTGTCGGACCCTGTCCAGCTGCATGTGACTCCATCTAGAACTCAATTAGCTCACTGGACCACCTTAGACTCTGTTCATCATAGGACCTGTCATTCAAACACACACTCCCAACAGCATGGCTGGACTGTCAGAGGAGACAGGAAGCGAGATGTTTTGTATGTGTCACAACGTTTCAGCACCGGTGTTGTGTCACTATCAGCTATCATTGGTCATCCCACCTCCACCAGACATTGGGGTGTCAGTATACAGAGGAGGCTCTATTCAACGGTCCCTATTAAATCAGTGATTAAACCAGTGACCATGCCAGGAAGTGGGAAGAAACTTCCTAAAGGCCCCAGGACCAAACAACCATCCAGAACCAATCAGCCGACCCCAAAGGAGGACAAGGTGATGCCGTCCACCAATCAGATTAGAGGACTGGGATATGCTTAATGAATATATCTATTTTATTTATTTAACCTTTATTTGTATTATAAGGAAGTGAATGAATGAATGAATGGATACTGAGCATGGACGGATGAATTAATGAATCAATGTTACATACAGGGACAATACAGGGACACACTTTATACATCAGAGCACATAGACCTGAGCACTGATGGCTGGTGAAACAAGTAAGATACCTTACGTGTATCTAACATCTAGTATGACCCGATTCTTGATCATGTGGGTTATTATGTCAGTAACACAATGGCAACCATGTTCTATTTGTCCCCTATAGGATATTATGCAGTGCATTGCTTTTGCAACAGCGGACCAGTATCATTTGCCAACACTCTGCCATGACCTCATAGCCCATGGCTTCTACGAAATAGATTTACCAAGAGGTAGGCCAACACCTTTTTACTTTACTTCATGGATGCTCTAGGCCAGGGGTCTCCAACAGGTCGATCTCGAGCTACCAAACAATTCAGAAAGTACATGCAATTTTCACGTGTTCCACCGCAAACTGTCATTAACAAATCTCACAAGTATCAGACACCGCAAGCTCCCAGCTACTATCTAATCAACGCAACATTGACATTATCCCACCCCTGGTTAGCCACTATTGGCTTAAAAAGCCAGACCTAACACAATCTCTGCCAGCAATATTGCTCCTGTCTTGGTCTGTATGGTGCGCACATTTGTCTATCACTCTGTGTGTAGCCAATTGATGTGATAACCGTCTTGTGGGTTGACAGAAACACTTTCCCCAAAACCTTCTCGATTAAATGTTAACTGCAAAGTAGGCTTACCTGGCAGTAGTATATCATGAGTAAGTATATCATTTGTATCTATTATTTGTTATTTGCAAACTTTCCCATGAAATGAGAAGCAGCAGTACAGAACCATCACTAGACCGGCACATTAGATGGCACATTCTTTACTCACTAGATGCACAATTAAAGGGCCAGATGCGCAATTAAAGGGCCAGATGCAGATGCGCAATTGAAGGGGAATTAAACACAAAAATCCCAAAATGCTAATTTTCTTCCAGACATAAAACAATTCTCAGAACATCCAATTTCATTGTTTCTCTATAAAAAAATTACATTTTGAGTGTAAAACAAAACAAATTCTAAAACCAGGAAAACTAAAACTGAGAAAACATAATTTGGAAAATATTAAACAGAATTGTGGGGGAAATAATCACAGATTCTATAGGGCTCCCCTTAGAGTTGTTTATTAACCATTATTTTACCAGGTATATTGGCATAAAACAGTGCACTACTTTCTCTTGTACACTAAGGACCTGGGGAAGAGTTGCGGGGAAGAGTTGCAAGGGAGAGGAGAAGAGAAGAATATGCTTATTTGAAAGCTAGGAGAAAATGAGTAGCTCATGACAGGTTTTATTTAAAAAAAAGTAGCTCTCATGCTAGAAAAGGTTGGAGACTCCTGCTCTAGGCTAATTGCATACTCTTTTCATGGCTGTGCAATGAAACAAAGAAACATTTTGATCATATATTTTCATTTCAGATGCCTCAAATGTACTTGTAATATGCACTGACAATGCCCAAAAACCCAGTGACAATGCAACAATGTTCTTCTTCAGGTATGTATTTTTCTATATCTTATTGGTTATGTCTCTTAGCTAATTGTTTTGTTTTGAACATTAAGCTATTTTTCTTTCTAGGGAGGGATCAGTGGTCTTTTGGAATGTTGAAGAGAAAACGGTAAGAAGGATTCCGATCCTATTGCACATAAGAAGTCACTGACATATTTCATTAATCTTCGTAATTTCTCACAATAGTGTAGTAATTCTAGTTTTGATAATAACAAAATGATCACATTACAGTCACCTTAAAAATCGCTGTTAAGGGAAGGTTTGGTTCTCTTGAACCAGGTAGTCTAAACAGGGGAATTGTTGAAGGAGCTGCAGATGTCATCAGTTACAGATCAATGATGCAATTTCTTGCTATTAATCTGCTTTGTTTCTCAGATGAAGAAAGTGATGAGGATCCTGGAGCAGCATGAGATTCAGCCCTACGAGGTAGCTCTGGTCCACTGGGAAAATGAAGAGATCAACTACAGTATTGGAGAGTATGTCACCTGATATGGTTGGTCGTAACAGATCGATGATGCAATTTCCAATATGCATTATAGCAAAATTAAATTGTAGATGGCTGAAAAAATGTATGAATGACTTTACCATGATATAGAAAGCAAAAAGGGCTTCTTTTGATTTGTCATTTGGATTGTTCCATAATTGTTGTAGCTATATTGTTGTCTTTGGTGACAGTGTTTTCTTTTGTTCTCCCAAGGGGAAACTCAAAACTACAACATGGTAACTTCCTGCTGAACAATGAAATATATCCTGACGAGGCCGTGCTGGATAAATTTGCATTCTCAAATGCCCTTTCTTTGTCAGGTTAGCTGGAACCCCTTTATGTTTACTGTTTGTTGTTCATGTAGGTAACATTACTGTTAATCGTTCTATATACTACTATGGCTTTCTTACCATCCATATTGTGCTTTCCCGTCTGTCTTGGTTTTGTTTAAGTGAAACTGGCAATATGGGAGGTGGCTTTGGATCACTTTGTGGAGTCGATTCAGTCCATCCCAGAGGTAAGACCTTTAAATGATTCTGTAAGTGTCAACAGACCTCCACACTTGAGAAACCATCATATCTGACCATGACTGAATAATTATACAATGTATAATAGGTTCTCCTAACTTCATTATTTGCTCTTCCCAAAAAGATGCTGAAATCTGGGAAGAAAATAAAGCTGTCCAGAGCAGAGGTCATGCAGAAAATTGGAGAACTCTTTTCTCTGAGGTAAATAAAATCTGCTGCAAATATCAAAGCAGCAGGTTAAATATTGGATTCATTTTGTTTATTACAGCTTGAGTAACCAGAAGCAATTAGCAGACAATACTATGTAACCATCCACCACTGAATCTGGCTATTTTACGTGTTATGTTATTCAAGGCACTGTATCAACCTGAGCTCTGACCTGCTGATCACGCCAGACTTCTACTGGGACAGAGAGAACCTGGAGATGCTCTATGACAAGACCTGTCAGTTCCTTAATATCAACCGCCGGGTCAAGGTAGGGTTTTGTCTTATTTATTCTTAGTATGAGTTTATGGATCATATCATATTTGATAACAGATGCAGTATTACTAGGGCGGCAGCTAGCCTAGCGATTAAGTGTTGGGCCAGTAAACAAAAGGTCGGTAGTTCAAATCCCCAAGCCGACTAGGTGAAAAATCTTCCGATGTGCCATTGAGCAAGGCACTTAACCCTAATTGCTCCTGTAAGTCGCTCTGGATAAGAGCATCTTTTAAATGACTAAAATGTAAATGTACTTTTAGGATGCTGAACTGAAACGTATATTAATGGCACCTGTTTGAACTTGTTATCAGTATAAAAGACACCTGTCCACAACCTCAAACAGTCACACTCCAAACTCCACTATGGCCAAGACCAAAGAGCTGTCAAAGGACACCAGAAACAAAATTGTAGACCTGCACCAGGCTGGGAAGACTGAATCTGCAATAGGTAAGCAGCTTGGTTTGAAGAAATCAACTGTGGGAGCAATTATTAGGAAATGGAAGACATACAAGACCACTGATAATCTCCCTCGATCTGGGGCTCCACGCAAGATCTCACCCCGTGGGGTCAAAATGATCACAAGAACGGTGAGCAAAAATCCCAGAACCACACGGGGGGACATAGTGAATGACCTGCAGAGAGCTGGGACCAAAGTAACAAAGCCTACCATCAGTAACACACTACGCCGCCAGGGACTCAAATCCTGCAGTGCCAGACATGTCCCCCTGCTTAAGCCAGTACATGTCCAGGCCCGTCTGAAGTTTGCTAGAGTGCATTTGGATGATCCAGAAGAGGATTGGGAGAATGTCATATGGTCAGATGAAACCAAAATAGAACTTTTTGGTAAAAACTCAACTCGTCGTGTTTGGTGGACAAAGAATGCTGAGTTGCATCCAAAGAACACCATACCTACTGTGAAGCATGGGGGTGGAAACATCATGCTTTGGGGCTGTTTTTCTGCAAAGGGACCAGGACGACTGATCCGTGTAAAGGAAAGAATGAATGGGGCCATGTATCGTGAGATTTTGAGTGAAAACCTCCTTCCATCAGCAAGGGCATTGAAGATGAAACGTGGCTGGGTCTTTCAGCATGACAATGATCCCAAACACACCGCCTGGGCAACGAAGGAGTGGCTTCGTAAGAAGCATTTCAAGGTCCTGGAGTGGCCTAGCCAGTCTCCAGATCTCAACCCCATAGAAAATCTTTGGAGGGAGTTGAAAGTTCGTGTTGCCCAGCGACAGCCCCAAAACATCACTGCTCTAGAGGAGATCTGCATGGAGGAATGGGCCAAAATACCAGCAACAGTGTGTGAAAACCTTGTGAAGACTTACAGAAAACGTTTGACCTGTGTCATTGCCAACAAAGGGTATATAACAAAGTATTGAGAAACTTTTGTTATTGACCAAATACTTATTTTCCACCATAATTTGCAAATAAATTCATAAAAAATCCTACAATGTCATTTTGTCTGTCATAGTTGACGTGTACCTATGATGAAAATTACAGGCCTCTCTCATCTTTTTAAGTGGGAGAACTTGCACAATTGGTGGCTGACTAAATACTTTTTTTCCCCACTGTATGTTGTTTCTTATGGGATATATTCCACTTAAGCTATAGGCAGCAAACCGTCAAAATGCTTGTCATTATGCAAGCAATTAGCTATAGTGGGATTGAAATCCACTTGCAGCAGTGGGGTCATCTATTTTTTTCCCAGGTAGTGAACGAGAAACTGCAGCACTGCACTGAGCTGACAGACCTGATGAGGAACCACCTGAGTGAGAAGCACAGCTTAAGGCTAGAGTGGATGATAGTCATCCTCATCACTATTGAGGTCAGAAACCCCAACACCACACACACACACACACACACACACACACACACACACACACACCACCCCTCCAAGGCTTATGTTCTTGTGATGGTGGTGATGATAATGATGGTTATTATTATGATGAAGATGATAATTATGTTTCTAGCATTATAATGAAGAACTACAAGAACAAACTGAAGCCTAGCTTATCATTTCATTTGGAATGTCATCTCACTACTCTTTTGGTTTTGTTTCCTTTGAATTTCAGGTGATGTTTGAACTTGGCAGAGTGATCTTCTGAAGAGCTGCATCAGTGACGATGAAATAAAAATACTGACAAAATATATATTTTTGTAAGTACATTACATCATGATCATAATTAACAAGACATTAAAAAGAAGGCTAAACTTTTACAGAAAATAATGTAACTTACTGAACGAAAATGGCACGAAGACTTACCATTCATTAACACCAGCAGCGATGAAACGCAAGAAGTAATTCATTTTCAATGGAAGGAGAGAGACTTGAGGAATATCACTGTAGAACTTACAATTCTTTCGGGTGGAGCAAGGCAAAAAAGATGAGGAAAGTTCATCTTTAGGGAAATCACCAGTGTCAGCGCAACAAAATGTAAATGTCTTGATAGCTCACTTTCGGACTGTTGGATTGCTGTTAGTATGCTGTTAAAAATATGTATCCATATGTGCTCATTAATTAGGGATGTGCATCTTTCCCATTCAAGACAATTTGATACGTATCTAGATACATGGGCTCCGATACGATACAGGAACGACATGTTGTGGTTCGAAGCGATTCGGTTTGATTAGAAAACAAATCGATGCGATTCGGGGGGAATGTAGCCTATGCTTTTTGTCCTCCCACTCTGGTTCTGAAATCATCATCTAATTAACTTGTCATTTTTGCAGATTAAGGGTTTGAGCTAGTAATGTATCAATATTTATCATTTACAAATTTGCTATGACATAGCCAATGAATATATATAGCAGAATTGGGGATTTTTCCCCTTACCCCCATCTCAAAATTAAATGGTTTTGGCCGTTTGGAAGTTTAGTGAGCTTCTTTTTCTCATCCAGCTTTGGCCATGCATGCAGTGCACCTCGCAAAAGTGATTCCTCGTTATGAAATTATCAACTTTTCCCTGTATATCTAAAAATGACCATATACACTGATTGTTTAAGGCAAAACTACTAAAACTATTGCTGATGGTGAACCTGAACAATCTAAATAAATCTATTGTAAACCCCGTTCAGCAGATGAGAGTTGTGTCTCCGGTAGCTTACTTTTATTTTCAACGGCGTATAGATAACAATAACCTAGCAAATGACAAAGGTTGTCTCACAACTAATAAAGTCTAATATCGCGCTAGCGCTTTTAGCATTTGAATGCTGAAGGTTCCGCGCAGATGTGCAAGATCAGGATCAGGCCACCTACCTCACGTTGGTCAGTGTGCTAAACTTGGCTTTGTCTAATCTACTAATATTCCCTAGGGTTGTTCGACATTCAAAATGACTTGTAGATCAATGACTGTCAACACAGTTACATGCTTAGTTCGACACTGAAGGAGAGGACGCATCAGTTGTCACAAAATATGTGGTATTTTCGGAAGGTAGAAAGTAATATGGGCAAAAAAAATGTGAATCTGCGATTCGTAACGTTTGAATAAATTTTATGACCGATGCATGCTACATTTGGATCGGTTTGGGGTCCGTGGACCGATGCAGTCCAATCTTAATCATTTGAATCGGGGACCGATGCGTATCAGTGAATCATTACATCCCTATCATTAAAATATGCATGTTTTTGGGGGATTTAAATGCTTGTGTTTATATTTGAGTTGAAACTTTAAATTGCCTATATGTATTGATTCACAGTACTTATTTATATATTTGCAGACATACATTTCCGTGTGTGTCTTAATTCTGGCAAACTGTGTAATAATTCAAACAACCAATCCGATATCTCATGATCCTAGTGACTCGTCTGTAAGAAGCTGAGCCAATTGCCTGGAGCTGCAGGTCATTTAGAGGATGCTAATTGTCTGTGGTCTTGCCATGTCAAATGTTATTCACATGCATGTGATCCATAAAGATCTACAGCACATACATTTGGTGACAGCTGTCACCTCCTGTATGAAGTTATTATTATTATTAATACCTGTCTTTTATACCGGTAACGAGCTGAGATTAGGAGCACACTCTTAAAGGGAGTGCTCCTAATCTCAGTTTGTTACCTGTATAAAAGACACCTGTCCACAGAAGCAATCAATCAATCAATCAATCAGATTCCAAACTCTCCACCATGGCCAAGACCAAAGAGCTCTCCAAGGATGTCAGGGACAAGATTGTAGACCTACACAAGGCTGGAATGGGCTACAAGACCATCGGGAAGCAGCTTGGTGAGAAGGTGACAACAGTTGGTGCGATTATTCGCAAATGGAAGAAACACAAAATAACTGTCAATCTCCCTCGGCCTGGGGCTCCATGCAAGATCTCACCTCGTGGAGTTGCAATGATCATGAGAACGGTGAGGAATCAGCACAGAACTACACGGGAGGATCTTGTCAATGATCTCAAGGCAGCTGGGACCATAGTCACCAAGAAAACAATTGGTAACACACTACGCCGTGAAGGACTGAAATCCTGCAGCGCCCGCAAGGTCCCCCTGCTCAAGAAAACACATATACATGCCCGTCTGAAGTTTGCCAATGAACATCTGAATGATTCAAAGGAGAACTGGGTGAAAGTATTGTGGTCAGATGAGACCAAAATGGAGCTCTTAGGCATCAACTCAACTCGCTGTGTTTGGAGGAGGAGGAATGCTGCCTATGACCCCAAGAACACCATCCCCATCGTCAAACATGGAGGTGGAAACATTATGCTTTGGGGGTGTTTTTCTGCTAAGGGGACAGGACAACTTCACCGCATCAAAGGGACGATGGACGGGGCCATGTACCGTCAAATCTTGGGTGAGAACCTCCTTCCCTCAGCCAGGGCATTGAAAATGGGTCGTATATGGGTATTCCAGCATGACAATGACCCAAAACACACGGCCAAGGCAACAAAGGAGTGGCTCAAGAAGAAGCACATTAAGGTCCTGGAGTGGCCTAGCCAGTCTCCAGACCTTAATCCCATAGAAAATCTGTGGAGGGAGCTGAAGGCTCGAGTTGCCAAACGTCAGCCTCGAAACCTTAATGACTTGGAGAAGATCTGCAAAGAGGAATGGGACAAAATCCCTCATGAGATGTGTGCAAACCTGGTGGCCAACTACAAGAAACGTCTGACCTCTGTGATTGCCAACAAGGGTTTTTCCACCAAGTACTAAGTCATGTTTTGCATAGTGGTCAAATACTTATTTCCCTCATTAAAATGCAAATCAATTTATAACATTTTTGACATGCGTTTTTCTGGATTTTTGTTGTTGTTATTCTGCCTCTCACTGTTCAAATAAACCTACCAGTAAAATTATAGATTGAAAATTTCTTTGTCAGTGGGCAAACGTACAAAATCAGCAGGGGATCAAATACTTTTTTCCCTCACTGTATAGTACATTTGTCATAATTTGGTTGTAATCCAGAGAGGTTAGAAAATGTATCTAGATCCTCTATGAGGCTGTGGAGGGATTCTAGTTGTGGATTTAAAAGAAAATAGTTAACATCTCGATGGCCACAATAAATAGATATGCCGATAGTGGACAACCTTGTTTCACTCCTCTTGACAGTTTAAAACCTTCTGAGAAATAGCCATTATTTATAATTTTACACCTATGATTACTATACATGATTTTGACCCATTTTATAAAAGATTCTCCAAAATTGAAATGCGCCAGGCATTTATATATAAACCCCAGTTGTACTTTATCAAATGCCTTTTCGAAGTCTGCTATGAATAGCAGGCCTGGTTTCCCAGATTTTCCATAGTGTTCTATTGTTTCCAATACTTGCCTTATATTATCTCCAATGTATCTTCCATGTAAAAAACCTGTCTGATTAGAATGAATAATATCCGACAATACCTTTTTGCGCTATACATTTTGCTAGAATTTTTGCATCACAACACTGAAGTGTAAGGGGCCTCCAATTTTTTTTATGGACTGGATCTTTATATTTTCCACTTGTATCCTGTTTCAGTAATAATGAGATCAGACGTTCTTCTTGAGTGTCAGATGATCTACCATTTACATAGGAGTGGTTAAAACATGCTAATAACGGTCCTCTTAGTATATCAAAAAAGTTTTGGTATACCTCGACTGGTATGCCATCCAACCCTGGAGTTTTCCCGGACTTAAAGTCTTTAATTGCATCCAGAAGTTCCTCCTCTGTAATTTCACCTTCACATGAGTCTTTCTGTATGGCTGTTAATTTTACATTATCAATAGAAAAAAAATCTCTACAATTAGCTTCAGTTAGAGGAGATGGAGGCGACAAACGAAAACATATGCTTAAAGTACTTTGTTTCCTCCTTCAAAATATCATTTGGTGAATCATGGGTGACTCCGTCAATTGTAACCAGTTTCATTCAATTCTTTTTGGTAGCATTCCTATGTTGAAGATTAAAAAAGAATTTGGTGCATTTTTCCTCATATTCCATCCAGTTTGCTTTATTTTTATAATATATTACTCTTTATCTTTCTTGAATAAGTTTCTCCATTTCTTTTTGTTTTTCCTCTAATTTATTCTGAGCCTCTATGTTACAGTTTTTATTGCCATCTATCTGTTCTGTTAGACTTTCTATTTCCTTTGTTAGTATAAACTCTTTTGACCTAAATTGCTTTTGTTTTCGAGATGAGTACTGAATTGCATGGCCTCTAAAGGCACATTTAAAGGCGTCCCATATAATAAGGGGATTTGCTGTACCTATGTTATGTCGGGAAAAAGTCAGTTATAAATTCCTTTGTCCTAGTTAAAAATAAATGATCATCCAATAGGCTTTCATTAAATTTCCAAAATCCTCGCCCACGTGGAAATTCAGTAAGAGTAATGTATATGCCAATTATATGATGGTCCGACCGCATTCTGTCCCCTATCAACACTTTTTAAACTTTTGGTGCCAACGAGAATGAGATAAGAAAGAAGTCAAGATGACTAGCTTGATTGAGTCTCCGCCATGTATATCTCACTAGATCAGGATATTTAAGCCTCCATATATCTACTAGTTCTAATGTATCCATGACATTCATGATTTCCTTAAGAGCATGTGGGTGATTGTTTGTGGTGTGATTTCCTTTACGGTCCATTGAGCTATTTAAAACAGTATTATAATCCCCCACCATAATAATATTGTCTTGAATTGCTTGCAGGGTTGATAATTTATTATATATATTGTCAAAGAAGTGTGGATCATCATTATTTGGTCCGTAAAGGTTAATGAGCCATATCTGTTTATGGTCCAATAACA